TTTTTGGGGGGATTTTTGAGGGATTTTGGGGGAAAATTTGAGATTTTTTGGGGGGTTTTTTGGGGGGATTTTTGGGGAAATTTGGGGATTTTTTGGAGGAAAATTTGGGATTTGGGGGAATTTTTTTTTATTTTTGGGGGTATTTTTTTAGGATTTTGGGGATTTTTGGGGGAAATGTGGGGATTTGGGGGAGTTTTGGGGGGATTTTGTGGTTTTTTGGCGGGTTTTGAGATTTTGGGGGGATTTTGGGGATTTTTGGGGGAAATTTGGGCGGTTTGGGGTTTTGGGGGCATTTTGTGATTTTTGGGGTGATTTTGGGATTTTTGGGGAATAAAAACAAGTTGATAAAAAAGTGGAAAATGAGGAAAAAAACCCTGTGGGGTTGGAGAGAGCGAAAATGGGGAGAAAAAGCCCGAAAATGGGAAAAGAGACTTGGAAATGGGGAAAAACTCCCAAAAATGGGGAAAAAAAATCCCAGAAATGGGGAAAAACTCCCAAAAATGGGAAAAACAAAAGTGAAGGGGAAAAAACAACCACAAAAATGGGGGAAAATAAAAAATGGGGAAAAAAACCCCCAAAATTGGGAAAAATCCACAAAAAATTGGAATAAAACCCCCAAAAAATTGGGAAAAAATCCCGAAATGGGAATCAAACCCCCCCAAATGGGGAAAAATCCCCAATAAATTGAAATAAAACCCCCAAAATTGGGAAAAAAAATCCCAAAATGGGAATCAAACCCCCCAAATGGGGAAAAATCCCTAAAAATGGGGAAAAATCCCCCAAAAAATTGGAATAAAATCCCCAAAATGGGAATCAAACCCCCCAAAATGGGGAAAAAATCCCCAAAAATGGGGAAAAATCCCCAAGAAATTGAAATAAAACCCTCAAAATTGGGAAAAAATCCCCCAAAAAATGGAAATAAACCCCCCAAAATTGGGGAAAAAAACCCAAAATTGGGACCCGGGACCCCCCGGAGCCGCGGCCCCTCCCCCACCCCGCCCCTCCCCCCCCACGACAGCACCAAAATCGGGAATTTTTTTTTTTTCCTTTTTTATTTATTTTTTTTTTGTCTTTTCCGGAGTTTTTTTTGTCCAAAAGAGCCCCAAAAGGGGGAGGGGGAGGGGTCAGTGCGGGGGTGGGGGAGGGGCGGCGGCGGTGGGGGAGGGGTCGGCGAGGCTCGAGCGACCTGGGGGGGGAGGGGCGGTCAGGGGGGGAGGGGCGGATGCGACCCCACCCCGGGAACCCCAAAAAACCCCAAAATTTCCAACTGGGACCCCAAAAAAACCCAAAATTTCATCCCGGGACCCCCCAAAAAACCCCAAAATTTCACCCCAGGACCCCCCAAAAAAACTCCAAAATTTCACCCGGGACCCCCCAAAAAACCCCAAAATTTAACCTCGAGACCCCCCAAAATTTCCAACTGGGACCCCACCCAAAAAAACCCAAAATTTCACCCCGGGACCCCCAAAAAAACCCCAAAATTTTACCCCGAGACCCCCCAAAAAAACCCCAAAATT